CCTTGTTCTTTTTTTTTTTTTTTTTTTCTTTTTTGAATAGTGGATATGTTTGGAGTTCAGTTAACTCGAGGCAGGAGGGGAATCACCAAATCCCAGCATGGTCGGGGTTGGAAGGGACCTTTGTGGGTCACCCAGTCCAACCCCCTGCGGAAGCAGGGTCACCCAGAGCAGGCTGCACAGGACCTTGTCCAGGCAGGTCTGGAATATCTCTAGAGAAGGAGATTCCACAACCCCCCTGGGCAGCCTGGGCCAGGGCTCCACCACCCTCAGAGTGAAGAAGTTCTTCCTCATCTTCAGCTGGAACTTCCTCTGCTTCAGTTTGTGCCCGTTGCCCCTTGTCCTGTCGCTGGGCACCACTGGAAAGAGTCTGGCCCCATCCTCCTGACACCCACCCTGAAGATATTTAGAGGCATTTCTAAGGTCCCCTCTCAGCCTTCTCCTCTTCAGGCTGAACAAACCCAGCTCCCTCACCCTTTCCTCATAGGAGAGATGCTCCAGTCCCCTCATCATCCTCGTAGCCCTTTTGTTTCCCTCATCAATTCCTCGTTTGCTTTGGGGCTAACAGGGGCTAAGGTAAGAGCCAGTCTGAAGCATCAGCTCAGCCGTCGCCTGGACTCTCCAGTAACTCAAAGGGAGATGACTGCTGACGCACCCAAAGAAGTGAAATGGTGTAATCAGCTCAGAAAAGAACGGCAGAGGCCTTCGGCATGCCCCGGTCATCGCAGACACAGGATAGCTATTAGCTCCTACCCGTGTGTGAGTTCACACAAGCCTCACTGCTGTGGGGTGCTGGCACCTCCAACACAGACACTGCAACGTTGCCTACTAACTCACTAAAATGATGGTGCAATTTGGAAATTAAGCACATCACGCACAGTTTTATTGGTTGTACTCTTCAGTTCCTCTCCTTGTACCGCTCAGCATCCCCTCTGCAGTGAATGGCTGCTTTGACTAATTTGCTTCTCAGGCAAGAAGGAGTTTCGCTGTCCAAAACAGCTGCAGTTACAAAAGGTGCTCGAGCCTAACATCCAAACGTAAGTAAGTTTAAACAGTAAAAGCACAGACACCGCTCCTTTTACTGCTGCGTAATTTTCTAGATGCAAACCTCCCACCGAGCTGATTAAACAGCAAATGGAACCAGTTCAGCAGACAGGTGCCGACTGAAGAAAGCAATCTTATGCCAGAGCACACTCTCCTCTAGTTTCTCCTGTGTTCAGCTTAATCTGTCAAAAGATTAAACCACACCAAAGATTATTGGGTTAATATCCGAGCTGACATTGACGGTCACTGAAGTTTACCCAGACAATGGTTGTATTATTTGGAGATTTTATGAAGTTAAGCGCAAATCAAGACCGAATCCCGAGGAGGTGTGCAAGGGACACGCAGCCGCACACACTCCGTAAAGGACAACTGCTGTCCCCGGGAAGGACAGCCCACCTGCAGCTGGAAAGCGCCCTGCTAACCAAGAGCCGCGGCGGCGCGAGTCCAAGTCTGAAGAAAAGGCGTGGGGTTTCTAGTGCTCAGTAACACAACTTTGCAGAACTGCTGCAGACAGCAGTATGCTGAGAAAGAAGCGAATGATCAGAGAAGTTGACAAACTGAGGCTGCTTTTAGACCAATGGCAGCTCCCACGCAGAAATTCATCCGGGTGTGTCCGGTAGCGGCAGCTTGTTGGAATCCCCCACGACAGAACGCACAGGGCTTTCTGGTTCTGAGGTGCCCGATCGTATCGGCGTGCAGCCCACCGGGACTTTGGCCATTCTTGTCCTTAATGCACTTCGCAGGAGGGGAGAGGAAAGGAATAAAAATAGTTTCTAGCACCTAGACCTGTGCATTGAGACATACAAATCCTTCCAGGGTGCTATTCGTCAGCTTCGTGCTTTGTCCCTGCGCAGCGGAGCACAGACAGCGACCTAGCTGACAAGCAGGGCTGGGGACGCCGCTGCTCGTGCAACAGCCATCAACCCTGCTCGTCCCCTCTCGTTAAGAACTCACAGCAGAAACAAATACTGACCGGTGACGCTGCTTCTGGAGGGAAGAGAGATCTACAGCGCAGGGCAGAACCCATCTAAACTGACTGTAGCCTAAAAGCAGATTTAAGGCAAAATATGACTCCAGATGCTTTTATATTCTTTGAGGCAAGAATCTAGAGGATGCTTCCAGCTGCTGTGGACAGCAGGAGGCCCCATTATCCGTGAAGATAAGACACACAGGGATCACGCTCCAACTCAATTTAATAAGCTTTGTAACGAACTTGGACAGAAAGTGGTCTGAAATAAGTCGAGCAACACTCATCTACTAGTCAAGGATTTTTTTTAAGTAATGCTTTTAAGCTTATACTCAAGCATACAAAGCATAAATTTTACAAATTAAAAACAGTAAAATCATCCTAGAATAATGTAATGGCTTCCCCTATATGTACAAGGAAAGGAGACAGAACTCTTTCCAGGTAATTTCACACATCTTAAACGCTACATAAGTGCTCTCCACATTCATTTCCATTTTTCCTTTAATGTGGGTGGAAGGAGCTGAAAGCGTTTCAATGAAACCATCTTTAAGAGAGAGAGGTACTTCACCTGGTTTCAAGCTGTATATGTTTGCCTTTTCAAAAGTCCTGAGAGGAAACGCTTTCCTTAAATTTCTGCTGTTAGTTTCTGTGCAGCAGCCTCTGTTTTTCCAGCTACATAAAATTAAACAGTTTAGTAAGCATTTCTCGGAAGGCACCACCAGTACTTCACCTTCGTGGAAACCCGTTATCCCCCACCCTTCAGAACTGACTCCACGGGACACCAGAAGCATCCACAGTTTAGCTTAGATTTGACAGGCACAAAAGAAAGGTGGTTGCAGTGAAGGCGGCAGCTCTTAGGGGGGCGAGAGGTTTGGGAGGAGAGAGATCTGTAGCCTAATCAAACACACGGGATACGCAGCCCTTCTGCAGAGGCATACAAGACAGGATATTTTACAATCCAACTTCTGCATGTCTATAGCATTAATGAAAAAAATCTTATTTGACTCCAACAAAGAAAAAGTTGGGGGAGGAATGAGTGTAGGGTGCCATGTTTAATTACCAGATTTGTCTGCCACCGCTGAGTTTGGAACAAAAACTTCTTACAAAAGTTATTTTCATATTGTTCTAAATTAAGTGGAACAAAGTATGTATTTTTACACTAAAGCAAACTGATCAAAGTGGCATTTAATATTATTTGTTAAAGTGGTTATCTAACAAAAACGGGTTAACAAAATCCCACTCATTAGTAGTCACCAAATAAGACATTTCTCATGCATATGACAAAAGTTCATTCGTGTACTGAGATCTGTTTACTGTGTACAGTATTTCCATAAATTATGTTTCACAGCCCCTACCATTCAAGAATATTTCAAACAGATTATATATTATATTTGTATATGCAAACTATTTTATATACACTAATATAAAGATCCTTAGAAGTACCATTATCACTACATTTATGCTTTCTCTAAAATGCATAGCTTTCGAATATTTTCTTGCAGTTACCAAAAACTTTACAGATTAAAGCTGCTTATCAATGTGGCATGTTCATAAAAACAAAGTGAAATAGTTCTCTACTAATTTTATATTAAACCCCTTAAAAAACATGTTTATTTTTTAATGGAAAAAAAAACCAAGCTAGTGAAAATTCAAGTAATCTATGCTCAATCTTTGCCCAAATACTGTACGAAATTAATGTAGCGTTCTAGAAGTACAGTGAACTTCTCAACCAGGACTGTAATACTGCATTTCTCATGGAGAAAAATGCTAGTCATGCTACAAAAACGCACCACTTTCCACTTCATCCGAGAGAAGCTTTAGATGAGATTTAACAACACAAGTGTCAGAACAGAGGAAAAGCTGATCAGTTACATATGAAGAAATTAGAGCTATTCCAGTTTTGTTTCTGCAGTTTGTTATTAAACAAAGTTACATTAACCATACAGTTTCTCACAAACTAAAAGTTATACATGGTCTTCAGACAACAACCGACTGGAAAAAGAAAAAAACAAACAAACAAACAAACAAAAAACCCAAAATAACCCACAACTGTTAAAAGTTTGATGTTAGAATAACCAGCCTGGGTGAAGGAAAGCTAGACCGCTGTAGTAGTTGGGGGGGGGGCTACTGATAGCTTGTTTGTTACGTATAAACTTTAAGACCTCCATACCACAAATGCCTCAAAGTGGAGAACAGAATGATCGGTAATAAATGGGAACAAATCATTTTGTTGTATCCATCATCCAGCTTAACCTCGGCGCTCTGCATCTCTAATAGCTGCTTCACAAACAACGATTTCCCCCCACAAAAAAATAGCTACACAAGTAAACAGTGTTCACAGTAATGCAATCAGTAACAGGTTTTGTTAGTTTCCGTAAGTCAGGTGTATCTGCAAAGCTTTATACAGTTTAATGCGTAAGTATTCCAGTAAAATTAAGTGAAAACTAAGTTTCATTCTACAGGGTAATATCTACCATACAAGACTAGATTATGTACAGTATGGGACTGGTGTGACAGCTGCCAGTGTCTCATGATGTTAAGCTATTTCACCCATCAGCTCGGTCTTTGTTCAGCAAATCTGTGTTAACTTGATATCCAGACCTAAAAATCTAAAGATCGATTTGGCAAGATTAGTGCTTGCAACCACTGGATACATACCAGTGGACAGTGCTGCAAAACTGAGTCGACCAGAACATCCCATACCCAGAAGATTACAATTTACTGACTTGAAAGTCTGGACTCCACGTGTAAAACAGTAAAACTATAATCCTAACTGGAGTGAGGACAGTCAGAAAACAAATACAGATGAAGATGAACTGCATCTCTTCAGAAAGGTACGGAAGCAATCAGAAAACGGAAATTGCTGTTTTTAGACAGCCCTGCTCTGCTCAGCTCGAGGCATAAAAACAGCCCAAGTAGCTCTAAAACTACGATTCTTATTCCGCAAGCATAAAGGCAGACCCTGCACAAGATGACACATCAGAGGCTTCAACGAGCACCTCTCCCCCCCACTGAATTTTCTAACACAAGCGTGTCTTTTAGCTTACAAACATCCAGCAGCCTTCAAAGCCTCAGCAGAAGGACTGCAGTGTCTACAGCTGCAAATTTAATATAGGGGGGAAGGCCCCTGTTGACAAAAACCCTCAAACGCCTCGGGGGGCCGTTTTGGTCATTCGTGAAAATTAAGAAAAAACACAACTTATTTCCAACAATACTCCTCCTGAAAAGATGGGTCACTGATCCATTATGAACATAGCTCTCGCCATATAAAGCACCAAAAAGTCAGAAATGGAAAAAAAAAAAAAAAAAAGTCCTTAAATTATGATTTACAAGTTTGTACACTATTTCCTAAGCAAAAGGTTGACCTTACTGCAAAGTTTATAGATGAAAACTTGACCAGTTACTTTTAAGGGGAATGTATATCTGGCTATAACTTAAAGGTAGAAAATATTCACTGTTCTATATACACATTTCAAACAGGAGACAGTTAAACTTAACTGAATAGTTGCCAATATAACTCCGTATTAACTCACCGGCCACTAAACTAGGTATCAGTAGCCAATTAGAAAGCTTGAGTTTTGTATTTTTAAAAATGCTATTTTTCCTGTCCTGTTTAATTGTTTTTTTAAAAATGTATTATAGTGCATAGCCTAAGTCAGACTTTCAAAGAGATACAGCGCCTTTCAATGCAGTTTTTGCAGCATTTAAAAGGGACTTTTCTCCCTTCAAATTAGATGTTCATTGAAAAATCTGAATCGAGTGCTGTACTGTAGTAAAAATATTTCAGTCACAGACTGATATAAATGTATACTGTGCAGTACTAAGATTGTTTGATGTCCATCTGCACACATTTTACTTGGGTTCTTCAATCGTCCCCTTGCTGAGGTCTGTCATTTTGGGATATTTCACTTTCTTCTGGTCCAGCTCGTTCTGAGCCCACAGTAGTAGTTTCAGTAATTTTGCCAACTTGGGTGTTGATTCACGATTTTCATAGTCTAGAACAGCTTGATTAACCTCACTCCATACCTGGAAAAGAAATACTGGAGTTCAGTAATAGGTTTCCCGTGATTAACACCGCTAATGTCACACAGACATTGAAAAGATCACACCTAGCGTGCCATTTCCTCCGAACGCGGTCAGGACAAAGCTCCGTAGACTATGAGCCTGGAGATAACAATGAAGAGAGCCAAGTAGCTGAATACACTAACAATATTTTTTTGAATCTTGCTTAAGAAATACTTCTGTTCTTTTGCATACCACTACAGACATTTTTTCTAAACATTTCAAAAATATTTGGACATCATTTTCACCACATACGAATAAAAGACATCAATTTCCTTTCAAGAAAGGGCTACCTTCTGTCGCTGCATCATGTTAAGCAAGTCTCCAAATGGTGATTCTTCAGGATTATCAAAGGCAAGCAAAGCCAGCGTACGCTCCATTTCTGTCAGGCATTCCCTGCTCTCCTCGCCTTGCTCTGCTAATTGGGTCTGAGCAAATTCCAGAGCTGCTTCTGTCTCACGCTGCCGAATCAGTTCAATCAAATGCTGCTGCTACATACGAAAGACACAGCAATGTTAGCTAAACAAATTAACAACTCTTCAGGATTTCAAGACTGTAATCTTCAGACATTCGTGTGTAATTTGAGACAAACAGGAATCCATAATTTGACAGTTTGAGGTCAATTCTTCTCAATGTGCGAGACAAGGAGCAGCAGACTTGTCTACAAAATCTACTGAAAAAGGTCACCCGAGGCTTTGGGGTAACAGGCTTTGAAAAGCTGCATTACTAAAGAAACTACTAGAAATTCAGACTAACAGTAATCTGAAGTTGATAACTCACAGGCCACTGCTGCTGCTCTTAAATTTTCAACGTTACTGATTGTACATGATGGTTCCTACACCATGCCACAAAGTTTCCAGTTGCTACAAAATGATGCCAAGAACAAACACTTGAATCACATCCAGGTTCAGTCACAAACCTCCCAATATACTTGTAAGATCTGCACTACTTTTTCCAGTCACTCAGCAACCTCTCAAACAAAGATGAAGTTTGTCACCTGTCCTTACCTGCAAATGGAAGTAAAGATATCTGTTTGTATCTAACAATTCCGGATGGAGGCTGTTTATTAACGCAATGGCTTCTTGAATCTGTCCTTTCAATATCATTTCTCGAATTTTTATTCTTTCATCGAGAGTCTCCAGATCAACACTGGGTTCAATTCCAGACTCCATTCGAAATTTCTCTGCTGCTTCTTTAAAGCCCTCTGAAACAGAAACATTTTAACTATAAAATATATTTTATGACACACTAAAAAAAAAAAAAAAACAGCTTAAATGAAAACATCTGAGTATTGCTTGTGGATTTGGGGAGTTTAAAGATTAAGTATGAACTTCTGAAAAATTCTTATCAGTTCAAACAGGCATTCATCCAACAGGCATCTAACTGTACATGCTTAATTCAGTCTTAACTCCAGTGCCTTCATTATCTATGGATGAATGCAATTGTAGTCCGATACCTCTTAACTTCAAAGCTGGTTTTCTACTTAAATAGAGCAGTGTACTTACTCCAAAATGGGATTTTCAAAATCACATTTTCAAAACTTGATTCTCCCTCCAGCCCCCAAAACCTGCTTACACAGGCCTATCAGTTTTACTGAGAACTAAAAATGACAATGAATTTTGCTTTCTTGCACTAACATTGTATTTTTGTTTTTACAGTTCTAACATTTCAAATCCTAAGTCATGCCTCCATACACACAAAAATAATTTACACCACTGAGATGCTCTTCCTTCATCCCAGAGGTTTCACCTACACACCAATGTAAACAGGGGTGTAGATCGGATATAAATGCCTCCGCCCCAGCACAGCTTACTGGGATGGCATGCATCGTAATTGCTAGGGACAATTTCCGAGGGTTCCTGATTGTTCCAAGTACAAAGTTAGGCTATACGCTGAAGAGGTTAACATTTTTGGTCTCCTACTGTTTTGATAACAGTGCCCTTTTAGAGTTTATCTTTCTAGCCAGTTAAAACTTGCTTCTGACAGTTGTTCTGTGCAGCTTTCAGAGAGCCGTTTAGCCACTGCAACATACTTTGAACTCTGTTTTAACGGCACAAATAAAGGACATCGTACACAAGCAGGTCATGTTTGTTAACAATATTCCAGAAAATACTTTTTTTTTCTCTGTCTTTTAGCAGAAGAGCTAAGGTTAATAAACCGTGAGATAATTGCGTTAACAATATTCCAGAAAATACTTTTTTTTCTCTGTCTTTTAGCAGAAGAGTTAAGGTGAATAAACCACAAGATAATTGCAGGGTCTCTGGATTGCAGTCAGTTTCCACGTAAGAGAACACAAGAGCAGTTGCACATCGCTAAGAGAAGCCAGCAGCAATGACTGAATCCTTAAAGCCCTAAATTTCACCCCATCTAGTAGCACAATCTACAAAAACTGTCTATCTTGATTAAATAAACGACATGCATTTAAGAGCCTGCCAGCATTACTACTCATTTTTACCTGTAACAAGGTAGTTCATGATAAGGCGGTTCATATCTGCTCTCTGGATATGCAAGTTATTAAGCTTTTCCATCCATTCATCTTTCGTGATTTCATCAGGTTTTTCTGCATAACTCATCCTGGACTCTCACTACAAGAAAAGAAAACCATCTCATTTAACGTGATTCAAGAAAAGGTAAGGTTAATGTATGTAAGCACTGTGTTACTACCAGCTTCATACCCTTTTTTATGAAATCTTTTCAATTAATAGTCCAAAAGAGACTCTTTTACCTCGAACCACAATTTAACATTTTTCTCATCCTTGTTCCTGCACTCTTTCACATCTGCTAGCCACTCTCTAAAGCCGCTTTCATCAATCGTCAGAACAAAAAACTCAAATGCCATTTTCTTGTACTTACTCTTAAATCCACTCCAAATAAATCTTGTTCATAAGTTACACAAGACACACAGCACCACACTGTGAAACAAGCGAACCAAAGAGTTTGACAGACAGCCAGAAAAACTGTAACCAAACTAAAAGCCTACGGAAACAGTACGTGCTCTGAAGTTTTGTCCAAGACTTCGAGAGGACAGCTACACGCACTGTGCAGCCACAAAGCTCTACACGACACGCTGTCCAACGTACAACCAAACGACTGACACTCGCTGTCCCCAAACGTACTCCTGTCAACACCACTAAAATGTTATCTCCTAGTATTTTTCTCGACTATATATATATTTATTTTCACTTTGGAAGCAAAGCGCTTTGCTAAAATTTGAGCCGGCATTTCATCATTTCTACCTTCAAATCACCATCACGGGGGGAGTGAAAGGGGGAGGAGAGGCGGCGACAA